ACCCCCACCCCCATGAGAAAAACACAAAGTCAGAGAGAAACTTATGCTACAAGCTTTATATATTAATATCATATCATTTACGACACACAGGAAGAACTGAAGATATTCCGTCTTCTAGTCTCTATCTTGACGGAAGATGAACTCAGCACCCAAGAAGCAGAGCTCCTTCGTCGAATGGACGAGAAAAAGGAGAAGAAATCTCGAGTGTCTTCGAGTCAGACTGAAGCCAAGAGAGAAGTGGATGACTTTCGTGAGGCGTATGAGATCCTTGTAATGGAGGACAAGGCTTTAGACAAGGCATTCAAGAGGGAGTTTGGTGATCAGGACTTACATACTGTGGAGCAACTGTACAAGTTGTTCAAAAGACGACCAAGGTATGTCATCGTTATCATTATACATCATCATCATCATCATCATCATCTAGAATCATCAATATTATCATCCTGATAGTCACCATCGTCATCATCATTATCATCATCATAATTGATATCAACATCAATATTATYATCCTGATAATCATSATCATCATCACCATTCATCATCATCATATTAACATAAAGTTGATTATTATCATCTTCATCATGTTAATCATCATCGTCGCCATATCAACATATCAAAATTCATTATCGTAACGAATTTAGAGGCTTGCGCAAGACAAAATAAACTAATGCCTTTCCTTAACCCGTCGACCTGCTGCAAACTGACCCAACAGAGTCGCCTCCACTCAATTTGGACGTACGACTTTTCTCATGATATTTTTGAATAATTTTCTTACAGAGGCCAGAAACAACTGCGCGCAGTCACGGATCCTCAAGCTGACGTTAAGACCGACTCTCCTTTCGCCCCAAGACCTTCCTCCTCTCGTGCTCATTCCGCTGCAGCCAAGCATTTAGCCAAGGCCATGGAAGAGTTAGATAGTATAGAACACATGCCTGAAGGCTTGGAGCTGGAAGTATGGCAGAGGTTTATAGAAACGAGACGACAAAAAGTTGAGAGTGAACAACAGGTAGTGAAATAAAGAAAATGAAATATTAGAGAGTTTTAGATTGACATTTTTTTCTCTCCGCAAACGGCAAACGTGACCACGTTTTCATAGTTTTCCTGTATTTTACTTTACCTTTTACAAACCTTCTCACCAAGTGCAAATATTCTTTTGGTTTTCTACTACTTGGACTTTTTTGCGATTCTTTTTCAGTAACCTAAGAGAATTTTTTACSGGTCAACTGACGTTTCACGTTTGCCGTGAACGTAAATCTAAAACTCTCTATTAAAAAACCTTTCCCAAACTGAAAAAGAGCAAAAAAAATAACAAGAATTCTCGATACGCGCACGAAACCACTAGTTTCTACCAGGATTTGATTAGCTTCATAGTAATATCACACCTCCCATTGCTAATCATTTATTTACTTATCTTTCTAGGTAAAAGCCAAGGCTCTAGTGCTGGCAGAGATGAACTCGTATCTTCAAAAACGAATAGACGAGGACGAGAGAGTACAACACGACATGGAGCACACGTACCAGGAACTGCAGAGGTAGGACAGTCACTCGTAACTATAATGACTTGGGTATCTTACCTGGGTTAATTTGTCGCTTTAGAATATGGAAGGCGAGACGTCCGCCCGCTGTAAATAAAATTTTTAAATTGCTATTGCTGTTGTCGTCGTTGTTGTTGTTCAAGAATGTTTGGCGATATTTGGTTAAAATGTTCGAAGTTATATTCCTTTCTGATGTAAAAACTGTCATTATTAAACAGGCTGCGTGAAGAAAAAATCAAGTTTTTGATCAATCTGGAAGTACAGCTTTTACTCAAGCAAGGCCAGGTAATGTGATAGATAGATAGAACTGTGAATAAAGCATTTAGCAAGATCACCTGAGATCAGAGCAGATCTGGTCATTTCCTTAACATTGGATGAAATTTCATCTCGCGCACCGTAACCGTGCCAACCATCCATTCAACATCTGCTCTGTAAAGGGCATCCGTGCCCTTGGGAATTCTGAAAGGAATTCTGATAACTTTCTTCCTTAAATGTCTCTTTTAGATCCGGGTGTCTTTTGATAATATGATGCTACAGCGCCGAATGATAAAGACATGGTTTATCAGTATTATATTTTCATGACTGAAGTGTTTGTCTGTATGTCTGCAGGTTGAAGTCCCCCCTGGACCGTTTATCACTGACTATTCCGACAGTATTCTTGTTCATCGATCTGTAGTCGAGGATCTGAATGCGCAGATCACGGTAAGTCAAGATGTACTATCATACTACTCAGACATGTTACTAATACATGTCGTTTATTTMTTCCTCTTTTACTCCGACGAAGGACTAGCGTCCGAAACGCCAGCAAGTTTTTTCATCTTTTCACGGTGTATAATTTACCCTTTTATCATGACTGTTTCGTTAGAAACACCGACGCAGCTCACACTAGTTTTAAGCTAGTTATCTCTTCGTGTCGTTTATTTATTGTTTGATTACAGCCACATATTTTCATATCATTTTCTTAAACTGATGAARGTTCTTTTTTCCATCGCATTTGGGGTATAAGCAAGCAAACGATTGTTCTATCAAAAGGTTTTATAACTGAGCTGATCTAAGGGTGGTTTTCTCATATTACCGACCCCTCGCGGAACATTCTCTCAACAAACAGAATATAAACTCGGAATCTTTGATGATTGATAAACTTAATTCTACTTTCCGATCTATTAATGATATTAGCATAATAGTATTTTGGATCTGATTGTATGATATGTTTATGTAGAATCTTGGCAAAGCAAAAGTATCCATYATGGACGACAGTAAAGAATTTAGGAAGGGAATCCATGGTCTGGAATGGTAAGAAAAGTGACGAATAATGAGTTTAAAATTTAAGTACAAATGCTCACACCTAATGCTCACCAGATCACACCTTCATAAAGGTAGTTAGGCTAATTTCAAGCAAGTTTCTTCTCAAACCTGTAATGAATTAACATTTAAACTTTAGTGATATTTTTTCTTCCCCGCAAATTTTTGTTTGCGATTGTTCAAATCCCGTACGATTTTTGCTATCATGATGATCAAGACCAAGTATCTCACAGTAATCTTATTGGTTACAATGATAACAGGGAACATAGGAAGATGCAAATGCAAGCAGAAGATCTGCAGACCAAAGCTAGAGATATCCAGCTACTGAGAGTAACCAAGGACCTCCAACAGGTATCTATCTCATTCTATATCCTATGCATCTGTCSTTACATCCCATCCACCTATCCATTCTATGCATCCATTTATCCTATTCATCTTATCTCATTCTATATCCTATGCATCTGTCGTTACATCCCATTCACCTATCCATTCTATGCATCCATCTATCCTATTCATCT